GGGACACTCTTGTGGGACACTCTTGTAGGACACTCTTGTAGGAAACTCTTGGGGGGGGACTGTTTTGGGACACTCTTGTAGGACACTCTTGCGGGACACTCTTGTAGGACACTCTTGTAGGACACTCTTGTGGGCCACTCTTACGGGGCACTCTTGTGGGACACTCTTGTGGGACACTCTTGTGGGGCACTCTTGTGTGTCACTCTTATGGGACACTCTCTTGCGAGACACTCTTGTAGGACACTCTTGTGGGTCACTCTTACACGACACTCTTGTAGGACACTCTTTGTGGGACACTCTCAAAAGCACTCTTGTGGGTCACTCTTATGGGACACTCTTGTCGGACATTCTTGTGGGACAGTCTTGTGACACACTCTTGTAGGACACTCTTGTGGGTCACTCTTACAGGACACTCTTGTGGGACACTCTTGTAGGACACTCTTGTAGGACACTCTTGTGGGACACTCTTGTGGGACACTCTTGTGTGACACTCTTGTAGGAAACTCTTGTGGGACACTCTTGTAGGACACTCTTGTGGGGCACTCTTATAGGACACTCTTGTGGGACACTCTTAAGGGACACTCTTGTGAGACACTCTTGTGGGACACGGTTGCGGGACACTCTTGTGGAACACTCTTGTGGGACACTCTTGTGGGACACTCGTGTCGCGACACGGTCTGCCCACACACTAGAAGCAGTCACGCGAGCGTTTCGTACGAGACTTCCTCCAAAAGTCACGCTTCGAGGCTGCAAGACGAGCGTTTCGTACGAGACTTCCTCCTAAAGTCACGCGTCAAGTCTCCAAAACGGAGCGTTTCGTACGAGACCTCCTCCAAAAGTCACACGTCAAGTCTCCAAAACGAGCGTTTCGTACGAGACTTCCTCCAAAAGTCACGTGTCAACTCTCCAAAACGAGCGTTTCGTACGAGACTTCCTCAAAAACTCACGTGTCAAAGTCTCCAAAACGAGCGTTTCGTACGAGACTTCCTCCAAAAGTCAAGCGGAAACACCCATCGGAGCACACACATCACGCAGCCCTGCCAAGCAGTTTCGCGATTCCAGCCCCTCCAAACAACACCCGCTCACACGCCAATCCCAATGAGACAACGACAGTCACCTCTACCACAACTCACAACCTCACAATTCCCTGCACCTGCCACGCATCTTTCCGCGTCCACACGTCTAACGCGCACAAAGTACTGCGCCTGCCTTGCAATGTCACCTCCGTCACACCTCGCAACCTCACGATTCCCTGCGCCTGCCACGAAAATCACACTTCCATGCCTCAAAACCCGCACAAAGTACTGCGCCTGCCGCGAAAAGTGACAATATCATCTCATGTGAGCTTCAACAAAATTTGCACCACACCACACGTTTGGAATGATTTCGATCCGTTCTGAGCACACTCCCATCCACCAAAATCGCCATTTCAGCTGAGACTTGTCACGAAAACAGAGCTTCGATGCCACACCCTGAAACGCAAATCCCAATGGCACGGCCACATCCAACACCCCAAAAACACGACTCTCCAAATGCTAATCCCAATGGAACTGCGTAGCAAACTGAGGATCTCACAAAACCCTGCGCCTGTGCAGCGAAATGCATCACGCTTCTTGCGCGACATGTCATTTTCATGCAAATCACAATGGAATGGCGTCGCAAACTGACACGTGACACATCCATGAAAAGTCACTTGCAAAAGCTTCCCCCAATGGCAGCGCCTTAGCGCTCTACTGCGGACGGTTGCCAACGGTTGCGAACATAGAAGCAACGGGTCGCGAACAAAGCTCTACCCCCAGACCCCCAAGAGTTAAACGAGAACCCTTCGCTACGCATTCGGGAAAAATCACCTTGGGATTCTTGGTTTTACCTTACCCTAGGCATGTCCAACCAACTAGAAACCAAACGGTGTCCAACAACAAAAAGTTCACTGACCCACTGGTCCAACAGCAGGAGGCAGGAGTAGCTTCCTTCCACCTATCAAGCTCCTGCGAGAACCCGGCCTTCATTCGCTGCAGTAGCTCCAGCACTGTCTCGCTGTCGTGTCCGCCTTGCGCCACCGTGGAGCACGTGGCTGAATCGACGGCGCTCGCCGAGGTCCTCGGTCGCCGTGGTCCGAGGTGAAGACCACAGCAATCTGCGCCATGTTGAGGCACTTCTTGCAGGTTGAAGCTTAGATGTGCATTCCAGCTTGTGATGGTTGGTGAATGCTTAAACCCAGGCGTCACTCGCTGAGTCTCGCATCATTTGGGCTTCTAACGGATCGTTGTTTTAATCGGATGTCATGCGAGTTTCAGCTGCTCGTTCACAAAGTTCTTGGAATACCGCCGTTCTTGGTTCGCAGCCACTAGGGCCGCATTCACACTCACGGTATCATGCTGCAGCCGCTGGTGCGCCAGGTCGTGGAACAGATGAATGGCCAAAGGCCACTGCTGCTTCAACTTTGCCAGCACCAAGCCTTGGATTTGCTTCAGGAACCTGGAAAAAACCATAGGGATGTAACCATAGGGAAAACACAAACCATCTTAAGCAAAACCAGGAAGCTACTGGTAAACTCTGTGGGCTCTGCACCTCTTTCCAGAGACATCTGCAAAGCACTTAGCACCTTTGGCCAGGTTTCGCCTTTGCAGGACCGAATCAGTTCATTGGCATGTCGGATCTCCAAACTCATCCTTGGATCTGGGCGCCGGCAACCATGGACCAACCCAAGAGATTCCCAAAAGTTTGCGAGGAATCTCGGCATCACATCCCAATCAATCCTATCCCAGCCATGATTTCCCATCTCTTTTTCTTGGCATCAGGTCCGATTCCCCAGTGACCTCCGACTCACCCTCACTGCAAGGCACCTCCGACTCGCTACGGTTCTGCGTTCGGCTGCTTCCGCCACGTTCGAAACACAGAGTCGTCCTGTTTCTACCCATGATGTGTTCGTTGGAGTGTGCACTATGCTGCATGGTTTCCTCTTTTCACTGAAGCCCAAGATAGCCCAAGCATCCCTTTCTCCAGCATCTGTTGCATCTTCCGTAGCACTCGCCACCAGGAATGGCTCGCCTTCATCATCACTCCCAAGCTCACATGCGAGACCTTGGAGGTCTACCAGCAAAAGGTGGACTTCACATCTAACCGTTTACAACAGCCCATGACTCATGTGTCCCAACCTGATCGCTTGATCTTCCCTCGTCGTGGTACAGCGTGAGGTATGCAGGGCGTACTAGGATGCCGCATATGGCATGACCTTTGGTGTGAAGCTTTTTGTTGATTCCAGTTGATGGGGAACGCATGGGAGATAAACGCTGAGATAAATACAGTATCTCTCCCAGCAACTCTCCCCAAACCATACCTAATTATATGGCTTTGCTCATGAAACAAGACCACCGAGTCCACCAACCCCCGCGCCGGCCTCCAAGCTTTGCCTCTCCAGGCGCTCCAACAGCTCCAGCGCCCTCCCCCAGCCCGCGCCCGCCGCCGCGCCCGCCGCCGCCGCGTTCGCGTTCGGCGCGTTCGCCGCGGCCGCGGCGCGCGCCGTCGCTAGGCGCTGCAGCAGCAGGAGGCCGTCAGCCCAACGAGCGCGGCGCTGGAGAGCGCTGAGGGCGGCAGTGAGGTGCTGCGGACGGTCCAGTTGGAAGACCTGATCATGAATCATGTTTCATGTTATCAACTTATCTTTGGAAAACATACATATATTATAACTCCAAATACTTCAATGACGGAAACCACCACTCATCAATTGAATGGGAAGTTCCGGGTGTCTCGGACTTCTGCATGTCTGCATGTTCGCCTGCTGCAAGTGCAAAGGCTTGGAATCGTCATAGATGCTCTGCAAGATCCTGGGCTGGAGGGCCGGCTTGGTTGGTCGTGGAGAGTCTCCCGGCTCGGCCGAGTTCGCCCCCACAGGCGCTACTTCGGGGTACCACCGAGAAGCATGATAGAAGAACCATATAGCGAAAAAGGCACTGAGTGAGTCAATAATGAGTAAATCTGAGTTCATGGAGTTTGATGAGTGGAACAGAAATTCTGTCTGGAACCTTCAACTAGAATGGGTGTTGTCGTCCTTCAACGCGAGTGTATACTTGTCAGGTCAGATTCCGTGAGCCTTGTTGAAAGGCTTCTGTCGATTTTCCGTGTCACAGGATCCCGTCAAGAAGAAAAGGGCTCAACCTCCTGCAAGCTTCCAAAGTCCCCCTGGATGGATCCATTATATAGTGTCTTCTTCTACTGCGCGAAAAATTCTCTGGTGGGGTGGAAACCCCACCACACCACACCCACCCAATCCTCACGTCTCCCCCACGCGTGCCTACCCGTGCCTCTTCGGAACGCTTTGGAACCCCCCCCCCCCCCCCCTGCGACGCCCGGCCTCTTCCGCACCTGCCGAGGAGACCGGGTTCCGGGCGGCACCCCCTCTGGTGCCATCGCGCCATGGGCTGGAGGCTGAGACTCAGGGCCCGGGAAGGCCCTGGAAGGCGCAACAGCAATCCCGAAATCGGATCAGGTCGGGCTGGTCTTCGATGGGTGGGTGAAGGGGGGAGGATCACCCTGGTGGTAGCAAATCACTGGTGTTAGTGGATGCGTTTCTCTGAGAGCCAGCGAACTAAGAGGGACATCACAATCATCACATATTACCAGCCTGACCAAGAATGATTTGCTTGAGACTCTCCTATGAGACAGATGAGAGAGTCTTCTTGGATTGGGGATGCCAACTCACTTGATACAAAGAGAAACTCTGAGAAGCAGGCATCTTAGATGATGACTCCTCCAAGATTCACATCTGGCCCCCTTCTGTCCGAAAGTGGGACCCCATGAATCATGTCTAGTGTTCCTCAGCTGCGCTTGATTGATTCGATGCATCTGAGCCTCATTGAGCCTCTGGGGCTTTGGCTGCGGGTCGTCGCACGCGTCCAGATGTGCTTTGGGACTCTCAGGCCATCTCCGCAGAAGTTGGGGTGCTTCAGGTGAAGCAGTTCTCACCTCTTCTGAGTAGGACTTTCCAAGACCTAGACCAGTTGATCTTCACAATCCGGACATTCACGGAACATCGACCCGTCCATCTGATGGGTCAGGACCGTCCACCTGATCAGCGAGACTCAACGGATCGGCCGCACTCAACGGATCCACGCGGGCGACGCGACATGGTCTTTTTTGGTGGGAATCGATGGATGATGGATGGCAAGTGGCAAGTGCCTCCCAAATCCCTCTGAAAATATCTGAAATGGTATTAAACGTTGAAGTGACCCAGAAATATCTTCACAGAATTGGTTTAAGATAAAAAAGAATCTACAGGAAAGCCAGGAAAGCCATGGTGCTAAAACTAAAAACTAGGAAACCCCTGCAGATGTTCCCCTAAACCACTTCAGTGATATATGAAGACCATCATAAATTACCCTGCTTGACCTACCGACGTGATAGGTCCGGCCTCTGGGCCTCCCTGCTCTGGGCGCCTGCAGTCGGATTCGCATCCTTCCACAGCTCGTCCTGACGGCATTGAAGAGGAAGTAAGGGCGAAGGTCGCAGCGAAAGGATCAGCATGGGACGTGCAGAAGATGTAGATGTATATAGATGTATTTTGACTGTACCTAGCGCTTCCTGTCGGGGTGCCCTGTCTGGAGACCTGTAAGTAGTGTGAAGATATCCATTGGATTCCATTGGTGACCCCGAACGGAAGCAGCTGGTTTAGAGGTTCTTTTGGTAATGTTGCGGTTCTCAAGAGGCGCAAAAAAAACAGAACAGCAGCGGCCAGAGGCCCTTTCCAAGTTCACACGCTCCACTGAACGGCAGTCCACCTTCTGATTCGCCAACCTCGAAACCATTAAACCTCTGACCCTCCGACGCTGGACCAGTCGGGCAGTCCACATACACCATCATGGGCACGGTCTGGTACAAAGTCACCTCAGGCGGCACAAAACAGAGAGACAACCGCGGAGGCAGGCATGAGAATCATGAGACCGCCCCCAAGTGGAATCCACCAAAAAGGAGACATGGTTGGAGATCAATGGGAGGGAAAAAACATGCAACAAAAGGGAAGACAAACGGCTGTGGATCCGGTACCCCTGAGTCTGAGGTCACTCCAGTTCCCTCCCTGTTGGAAGGACCATCTCAGGACTCAGCTCGTGCTTCCTGCAACTCCTGGGGCCGTTCCGGTGCCCTGGTTTCTTCACAGGACATCCATGAGGGATTGTCCAAGCCTCTTGCCAAAGAAAGACTTGGAACTGATTGGGAACGAATAGAATTACAGACAGGCATAGAAATCCACGACCAAAAGGCTGCACATGAACATTTTTGACCACGCGGAGGAATGAAGAGGTCATGAACGCCCTCAGATTGCTTGGAACGCATCCATTGGTCGAGCATCTCATGCAAGGTAAGAAGTTTCAGAGCCACCTGGAGTGAGAATGCAATGTCACAACCCTTTTCTTGCTAGCAATGACCTATCAGAAAAACGGATTGAATATTCAGAATTGCCACAGGAAGCAATGAACAGAGCCTCTGAACCCTGTGTTGAGGCACTGCAACTCTCGGGACACGTTGTCGAATTTTTGAGCAACATGTTGCGACCCAAACGCAGCGGATGTTCGTTCCGCAGAGCAGTTGGCGCTGGGGCCGAAGCTTCCGCCCGCCGAAGCCCGGCTTCCCCTAAACCGCTGGGTGTGGTAACAAGCCATTGGGCACCACAACATCGCATCCCCCCCCCCCGGTCGTCAGTCCGTAGGGTCGGCTGGCTTTCCTGGTCCGGCAGAACTGGGATTCCACGAGCAGGTTCCGAGCGGCTGACTGACTGAGCCCCATGGATGGGAGCAGGGTCAAGCACACTGGACCACTCCCTCTATCGGTCTTTCTCTGGTGATGTCTCTCTCACTCTATAGTATATACTGTATATATATATATATATCCTCCAGTTGGCAATCTTGTACACCAGAACTCTCAGCCAGGAAAAGAGAAACAAGACGCCCAGGACGCTCAAGGCCTGGATTCTCCATCTCGAGCGCCAAATGGATCTGCCATTTCAACCTGGGTGGCCGTGGTCCGTTGTCCTTCGGTCCGGCTCCAGTTCCGTCCGGACACGGCGCGCGCCAAGGTTCATGCTCACTTGAGGGGCCTTTTCACAGCTCCAAACGAGCTCCAAAAAACAGGTGTTTGGCGGGTGGGTTTGGTTTGGAGGTCTCACTACCTTATGGAGGATGCGTCAAATGCATTCACACTATATAGGCGTTCTATCTCCATCCATGTGACCCTCAAAAACACCGCTTGAAAGAGCATTGTGCTACACCGGGCAACACCTGTGAAATCTATATACTATATAGCCAATTGGGATAGACCGTGTACAATTGTAGAAGGCTGTAGAAGTACCGTGTTGAAGCTACTCAGCTCTTGCTGGCTTCAAGCAAAACCTTCAGAAAGGGGATGGCCCCTCACCATGTCTCACATCAACGGTCCCTGCTTCCGCCTTGCCACACCGCTACCAAGCGGCTGCGGGCTGAGTTGAGGCAGGACCTCCTGTTCGAGAATCTCAATAAAGTCCAGGCAGCCCTGGACCGGCGCGGCGCTCACGCGTCCGGTGCACCGTCCGTTAGCCGTCCCCCGTCCGTTAGCCGTCCCCCTGCTTCAGCCGGTGGGCTGAAGCAGGCTGCAGTAGCAAGTGCATCGCTACGAACGTAACAAGGGCATTACTACTAGGGGCTCGAAGCTACTAGTAACAAGGGCTTCATAGAGGTTTCAGAACATCACTGTATTGCCCTCATTGCCGTTGGGACCCTTCAGTTCCTGCACCTACATCCTCCAGCCCGACACCATGCGCCCGACACCATCATCCGGCAAATCCAACGCAAGTCTCCGTTCTGATCCGCCCAGAGCGCTGGGGGCGCCTGGTGCAAGATGAATTGGCAATCCGCCCAGACCTCCAAAGGGCCGGGCCAATCTTCAGCCCTAGTTGGGGGGTCCACCCAATGGGAAAATAGAAATGTCCATGCTTGGACCCCCCCCACATGTGTCTGTTTGGGATGGCTGGATGAAAAGCAAAACCCCGGGTATCATTGTGACGCGGGCATTGCAGTAGCTGCTGTTTACAAAGAACAAGAATTGAAAAAAAAATCCTCCAACCCACTCCCGATACTTTATCTCCGACATGTGTATATCATTATATAATAGGATTCGGAATCATCATGAACCGAAACAAAACACTCCAAAAAAGGTAAGATATTCTATTGGCAATTTTGGGTGATATCTCATGATCCAAGTGCTTTTGTTGAAGAATTAACCCTTGCATTTTTTAAGAATCTATATACACAATTCTGCTGGTCTTCCCACGTCCCGGTCCTGCTCCAGCCGCAGTAGGGCTGCCGTGAACTCGGCCTCGGCTTGCGCTTGTGCGTTTGCATTTGCCGTTCCAGTCGAATGCGTGCGCCAGGGTTCCCTCCCTAACGCTGGAAGTGGAACATCACATAGTCAGATCCTTACGACAAAAGAAGGACGAGCCTCTTCCTCCAAGCTAGGACTGCTT